CGTTAAAGAGATGTTAAATTTCTCATTTTGGTCATTTAAAAATGGTTAAAAGTCTTACAGGTTTATAACTGTAGTTTCTAAATGTAGTCATGTTAGGAATTTCCTATTCATTCTTTACTCCAAATGGTGAATCTTTCTATTGAGTAATTCAGTTATTTTGTATCACCATTAATTCACTCATTTTTAACATAATCTAACCTTTCTTTGTAATATATATATGCACAACACACAGAGAGAAACCATCTGTTCAGTGGATTATACGCATGTACATAGTAAAATTCCAGACACAAATGTTTCCAGTTACAATTTTACCAGTAATTCATTGAGAATGTAATTTCAATATTGCAGCACTACACCAGATTAAGAAAGTTTATGCGTATGATTCAAAAACATAAGAGAAAAACACAACAAGGGCACTGACATCAGGGTCTGTATCCTCATGTGGTACAAAGGCTTGCAAGGACGCTCTAAATTATAAAGCAGTGCCCCTCTGGTCCTTTTATTAGGGGTGAGCTAGAAACCTCCGTATTTTTAGCTAATTACAAGTCTGAATAAGAATAGAAAGAGAAGATTAGCAGTGTAGAGAGACATTAAATAAGGATTAACATGCAGCTCAAAAATGAAAGTCAGCTTTATTTGTGTAATCCTGGCTATTTTGCATTATCTATGAAGACACACAAAGCTGAATACACTTGTTAGTACATTTAGCAAAATTAACATTGTAAATATTAGAAATTGTTAATGCCTCAGCCTTTCATAAAGGTTTATATACTTATTTTTGCCTGGTCATATCTTTACACTCTTTGAAACCCCCATGGCTATTTGCTGTTGATTGTAGTGACATCTATTGGAGAGGCAGTGTTTGACTGCAGAAGCTTCCTCGTCTTTGTCTCTGAGTAAACATTTCTATATTTTGCAGCAGCAATGAAAATCATAGAGTCATAGGACTGAAAGGGACCTCGAGAGGTCATCTACTCCAGTCCCCTGCAAAGTGTGTCATCATGTTATTTTTCTTGTTTCACAATGCAGCCTCACCCAAAAGGACTTGACAAACTCTAAGCAACCAGATCCCCCAATAGCTTCATTGATTTATCAAAGTCAATTTACTCCTTAACACTTCTGACATTTTTTCAAACACTTACAATTATTCAGTAATCTGATTATTCTAATATTTTTAATGTCATTAATTCATGATATTTATGGCCTTCTTGGTTCCCTTTGTAATTTTATATTTTTGCACATTAAATGTACAGCATGTATTTGCAAAAAGAACAGGAGTACTTGTGGCACCTTAGAGACTAATAAATTTATTTGAGCATAAGCTTTCGTGGGCTACAGCCCACTTCATCAGATGCATAGAATGGAACATATAGTAAGAAGATATATATGCATACAGAGAACATGAAAAGGTGGAAGTTGCCATATCAACTCTAAGAGGCTAATTAATTAAGATGAGCTATTAGCAGCAGGAGAAAAAAAAGTTTTGTAGAGACAATCAAGATGGCCCATTTCAGACAGTTGACAAAAAGGTGGGGAAATAGATTCATTTTTAAAGGTGTAGATGATGTTTGATTTTATGAAAAAAAGAATAAGCCATCACATCTCACTAGTTTGGGTATTTCTGGAAACATCAACTTTAGGGAAGCTTTTGGAGGCTCCAACTGAGATCAGAGCTCCATTGTGCTAGCATCTGTAAAAACATATACAAAGAGACAGTCCCTGCCCTTAAGTGCTCATAACTAACCTAAGGCAAGAATCCTGCAAGGAGCACCATGAAGACAGACCCCTATGCCTTCACTCAGCTCCACTGACTTCAAATTGTCTAAATAGATAAGGCAAAGGGAAGGAAGTATTATTATACCCTCTTACTGATGGGGAACTGAGGTGCTGGGAGATTAAGCGACTTGCCCAAATACGCAAAGGAAATCTGTGGCAGAGCCAGGAATTGAACTCAAGTATCCTGAGTCCTAGTCTAGAGCTTGAATCACCATAAAACCACTTTTTACAGATCGTTTTTCTTTTACTTTAAAAACCAATATGAATCAATCAGATCAATTTCATTTTCTAATTAAAAGGGAGAAGTTAATGAAAAATGCCTCTTGAAATGACAGGATTCTGACCTCTTGCCAGAGTTCACGTCTGTCTGGTTTACTCCACTCACTTTGAATTTTTTTATTTTTGTATAAATTTTAATTTTTTTTTTTTAGGATAAATTATGATCCTCCGTCGTGTGCATATAATTCAATTATAAAGTCAAACAAAATTCCATAGCTCCTAATGCCTATGGAAAACCTTGAGAAAAACTCTACTTACAAACTAATTTTTTTCCCTTTCCACTCCCAACCCCTCATTTTAGTAATAAGCTACAACAAGGTGTGCATTAGTGGTCTATCGGCAAATTCTTAGTGCACATTTCTGGCCTTCAACCACGAAACCAGCACACCATTGCCTACTGATGTATACCCTGCCATGATTTATTGCTAGTGCAAATGGCTTCATTTTACAGTATTTTTAAAAAATCTATTTGAAACCCACTGTTCAGAGGGCATGCGGGTTACTAACCTACTCCTCCACCATGGAAAATCATTCCCAAGAGAAGAATAAAAAAACCCTCCCACACACATTTTCTTTAATATTCTGAAAATAGTCACTAAAACAAACCATTTTGAAGTTTTATTTCAGGCTGAAGACCATCCTATCTTGCTGTCTTTTATCCTGCATGAACCTGGTTCACTTTCTGAAGCAGACTGTAGATACACTAAATTGGGAATGTCGATCCCAGCTTAAATGTTACAACCGAGAGTGAGGCAAAGGAGTGGTCTGGGGCTACACATTTGCCATGAAACACTTGGTTGGAACCTTGGCCTCATCAGGCAATGCTGGATCCAGGATCTTTTGTTGAGATTTATATCTGGTAACACCAGCTTCAGGCTGGAATCAGCCTCAATGAAGGGAGGCTGCATAGGCTGATAGATTAAGGACTGAATAGTTTGGTCTAAAGGCAGAAGATCCATTTATCCTAAAACTAGAGAGAGTTAGGAGTCAAATGCTACGCATTTCTTCTCCCTATTACAAACAGCTACAGCAACCCGCAATGCCTTCTTCCATTTTCAGCTGGCCCAGATGTTTCATCCAACCTGACAGATAAGGACCTACGACACTTTTATAAACTTCCAGGCTCATTTCTAGTAACACTCTGTACTTGGGATTGAAAGTAGGAACTTTGGAAAAGCTCCTACTGGTTCAACATACAGCAGCTCACCAATTAAGCAACAGAGGCGGACTTAAACACATCACCCTATGCTCCATTTACTATGGCTATAGCTACACTAGGGAGCTTACAGCGGTGCAGCTGCGTCGATGTAAGCTCTCTTGTGTAGCCACTCTAAGCCGACAGCAGAGAGCTCTGCCATTGACTTAATTAGTCCAACCCCAATGAGCGGCTTTAACTACATCGGCGGGAGAAGGTCTCCCACCGACATAGCGCTGTCCACACCGGCGCTTAGATCAGTCTCCCTTATGTAGCTCAGGGGGGTGGCTTATTCACACTCCTAAGAGACATAAATTATACCGACATAAGTGGTAATGTAGACATAACCTTAGCTGGTTCCCCAGAGAATAACCAATCAAGATCCTCACCTCCAAAATCTTAATGGGACAGACCCAAAACCGTCTTGATGACGGTCTCAGCCTCTGATCAAGGCTTACAACAACAACTGTGCTCAAGAGGTAAAATGGCACTGCTAACAACAAGGATTAAATTCATAAGAGCCGGTCAGAGACCTTCCTCATCAGCAGTCCTATGGCTTTAGAACTTCTATTCACAAGAACAAGACTTGGCCACAGATCTGACCACTTACAAGTCAAAAAGCAAAATGCATCTCTTTCCTCTGGCTTTCCCACAAATAAACAAATAATCAAACAAAAATACTCATAACACCACACACAGGAACACACACAAGTACCGGTCCATAGTAAGGGGGAGAGAGGAACAAGAGGAGAGGAAATCAACACATTGACTAGTTTTTGTAAGTTTCTCAGTTACCCTGGTGCTGAGTGCGATATAGATAATTCTCAAATCAACTCTCGTTGGTCATCTGAGAGTCACTCCTATTGGGTAATTACTTTCTGTTTATCTAAAGCTAGAGCCACCCGAATAGGTCCTGAACTTCTAGGAAGTGTTGCGGGGCGCTCCTGAACAGACATAGTATTCCGATTTATAGATGCCTGCACTTCCATGCTGATCAAAGCATAAATCATTGTGAAATATCTGTAGAAATTATAGCATTTGGGGGATTAAGGGTGCTATACAAAATAAATCACCTTTCAAGGAGCCCATTGTGACAGACCTGATGCTCCTTTTGTTCCACCCAAGCCTCTTAATTACCCACTCTCTGCATAACTTTCTCTCACTCCCCCAGGCTCTTCATGGAAAACCTTCATTAAAATCATGCTTCTGCCCTAAAATCCTTAAACCGTAATTCCAATAATAATTCCCCTGCATTTTTTTTTTTAAAAGAAAGGTATAATGCCTGCACTGTGATGTATAATCTAGACTGCAAGCTCTTTGGGGTGGGTTCTGAGTATTGATGGTTCTCAAACTGATCTGCACAGCTGCTGCTGTCACAATGCTGAAGCATCTTATCTGCCTTCAAGCAGCGACACTCCCCTGCAAATTGTAGGTCAGCTTAGATCTTGTTCATTGCTTTTTGACCAACTAAACTAAAAATGAATCAAGCACCTTTCCGCACTCCGGCAAAGAGGGAAGCTCGAGGGTTGCAGTTGGAAGGGCAAGAGCTTCCACCTTAAAAAGATAAGTCTACAGTAAAGAGAAGTTTGAGACCAGCTCTCCACAACATATGGAGCACTACTCACGCTGACGGAAATTAATCCATACACAGTACTTGTAACAACGTCACTGCTATGTAGCACCATCACACAGACAGATTATAGTCCATAAAAATACAATGCGCTTCTTAGATAAATGTGGTACTACTTACCCTCTGTATAAAAATCCTCCTCCTCCACAGCATCCTCCTCTGACTGGAGTCTTTTGGGTGCTTTATAAGGAGGTGGCAACTTCATCGGAGGTGGTGCCCCCACTTTTCTCTGATGGATTAAAAACAAAATAAAGAGGTTTCAAACATTTTGCCACGTACCTACAAATTACTTCTTTCTTCTCCACACACTAAAAGGCTACCCATGTACGTACATACTCCTCAGTTTAATACATTTTTTTTTAAATAATGCACTTTCACTCCTTTTTTTCCAAGAAATTTTACAAATGAAAAATATTTTAAGAGACTCTGACGATAAAAAGAAATGAAAGAAAATAATAATATGAAATGGACTGCACATTTATTTACTGGAACAATACTGGTATTTCATTGTAAACCTACTTAGTGGAGTACAACAAACATGTGACCATTAATGAAGGGGTTAAAAACAGAACATTAAATATTATCCCAGCATGGATTTTAAACCCTTTGTTCATCTTCCATTACCATTTCCTGCAGCAGTTTAAAATCAAAAACACTTTTAGCAAGCAAAATCAGAATTGAGCCTCTTATAGCTCCTACAAGTAAAATATGACACCATATTTCATCTACATTTTGGTTCCAGTTAAAATATCATTTGAATTATAACTTACAGTAAAATTCTATTACCTCACATAAATAAAGACAGTTCCTATAATGATGCATATAGCGACGCATATCAGGTATAAAAAGAGGACTCTGGAATCTAATGAAAACGGGAGCTGAAACATCCAAGCAACTGTTTTTATAGGTTCAAAATAATTGGAGCATGCTTTAGGTTAGCTACATGATTTCACTAAATTATGTTCAATTACATCCCCTACAATCACACCACTAATAGCAGGATGCACTTTAGCAAGTGAACAGTGAGTACAGTAGGCCATTAGAGCAACAAAAATGCCTGCGATGAATTTTTTTTTTTTTAAATCGCTGGGAATTACCATTTGGGAATCAAACATCAGATCTGAAATAATATTTTCCATTGCATAGAACGAAAACAGGACCTGCACATAGATTCATAAAATATTTTAAATCTAAATTTATGTTAAAATATTCTAATCATTAATACGCAACGGAATCTGAATACAAAATTGTAGGAGTTAATACAATATCATCTGTTCGTTTAAAAATTATTACAGCGGAGTGCTGCACTGAGGCCAGCAAAAGAGTAATAAATCAAATTAATTCCACCAATTTGTAGCAAGGGTGTCTAATGAGAGGATCTTAAGAAAGCAACAGTTTTTTCCCCAAAAGTACCCAACAAAAGAAAGCTCGCGCGCGCATGCACACGCACACACACTCTAACTAAAATAAAACCAAGACAAGAGGTCCAGCAAGCGCCACTCATTTTTTGTATTCTAAATTCTTTAATAAGTAGAGCTGGAGAACTTGCACCCCACATTTCCAACTGCCTGTGACAAATCAGAACCATTAATACTTTAGAGTCCACTTATTAGCCTTTTTTGTTCTTTATAATTCTTTTTTCAGCACTTTCAAGATCAATATTAAAGCCCCTCGGAGCCCCAGGTAAGCAAGGTGCCCTCTGTTTTCCTATTATATTAAACTTACAGAACCTTTAAAAGGATTGTAATGGTTTTTATAGCCAAAGCAGATCTTTACTGGCCAGGGCTCTAAAAAGCCTAACATAAGTTTGTTCCATCACTTCCTGATTTTTTGTAAATATCATCATGTAGAGTCTGATCCAAAGCACGTTGAGGCCAACTGGAATTTTTTTTAATTGACTTCAATGGGCTTGAAAGATTCACAATCGAATTCCTGATATTCAAGAAAATGAAAGTCTATTTTCAAAAGGCAAACAAAAAGCCCCTAACCCCTTGGTTTCCTGTAAAAGTGGTAAGATTTCATCCTGGAGCACTTCAGACAAGTTCAGGAATTTGCCCAGAGAAAGGAACAGAGCATTTGTTGGGAAGAGTCAGCAAAATGAGTATGGGACCTACCTGATTTTCTGTGGGGCTGGAGGATTTAGCTGGCAGTTCCTATATTTAAAGAAAGATTTTAACAAAGTTAAAATAGCTTTAACCTGGTGTATCCTCTGATTTTGTATGGCCCAAAGTCACCCTATTTCCTCAAATCCTACTCCAAACTCACTTCTTTCTAGCAATGATTCATACTCCTATTTCAACCGAATAAAATTAAGTAAGTTTGCGACTCCTTACATCTTGACCCAAAGTGGGATTTCAGAAAAGCTTGACAATGGGCCTCAATAATTTTTTTTAAAAAGAGACACAACATTAATGGTAGTTACATGGCACAAGCCCAAAATGCTGCAGCAGACAGAATGACAGAAATGTTTCTAAATTAGACACACTTTCAAACATGAATAAGAAAAAGCATCTCCATTTGGCATCCACTGCTATTTTGATTGTTGCAAGTTTAAATAATTGGGATTTTTTAGAATAGCAGAATTAGACTGCAAATTCTTTTGGGCCAGAGTTGTCCAATTTTTCATGTTTGTATAGCACCTGATCTTAATTGTAAAGCAAATACTACAATTCAGGATTGTAGACACTGGGATTTTGTTGATCAGGTATTTCATCTTGTCCCGACAATGGGACTTCTTATGTGCATGCCTTGATCCAAAACCCTCTGAAATGAGTGGGAGTCTCTAAATTAAATTGGGTGGGCTTTGGATTAAGGCACACACACTATTCGTACTTTACCTCAGCAACAGCAAAGCTTAGCATAATAACTGCATTTTTTCCATTTTATGAACAGTCAGGGATCATGTCTAACTTAACAGTGCAGCTTCTACCAGCAGGTTCCTACAAGGTAATTTAAACATTGACTTCTGAAGAAATTCCTCATGAGATTCCCACTTGTCTTGAACAGTGTCCTCAGACCACACTTGGTATTTCATTTGCATCAGGGGCATATTTATAGGTTGCAGAATAAGGAAGTTTCAATTCCAGGCATGGATTTGTAGTATCTATCTGATCGATATGCCTCAAAGACAATAAATGAAATTCTGTTAAAACTATTCTTAGAACCAAAACCTTCCCGTGTGCCACTCTCATCTATGCCTCATTTGCTGACAAGCTCCTCACCAGGACTCATGTATTGTATACTTTATCAGTTCTTAACCCAATCTCTCTCACCCTCTCTCGTACATCATCTGCTCACACTGGTACAAGGATCACCTCTGTGAAGTCGAGATTTTCTGCCCGGGTCTACAAGCTGGTGCTCATCGTCCAGTGCCATACATGGAAAACTCATTTCCCACATAGCAACGAAAAAGGGGCCTTCTCCAAATTCACCTCTCCATGACAGCTTTCTGCCTGGTTTTCAAAGTGTTTCGTAAAACTGAAACCGCCTGCCTCCAGGAATGGGATGTACCAGCTAATTACCATCATTAGCCAGACAATCTCATATCTCACTCTCTTCACTTCCTACTTGTTCTCAAGAAATTATTCCCAGAGGCTCTTATTTTAGTCCTCTTCTCCATCACTTCACCCTGGATCATCTCATTGCTTCAACCCTGGACATAATTTTTACACAAATGACATGTACATTTATGCCCTGTCTAACTCTCACTTCCTCCTGATAATCAGTTCTTCGCTTTCGCATAACATCCTGCTACTCTAAGCTTCTAAGAGCTAAGTCCTCCCCCGGAGTAAAAAATTCTTTATTTTCCATGCCTGCGATAACTCTCCTTAATTTTGCTCCTGAGGTCAGAAGCAGTGGTGTCAGCCTTGACCCTGAAATTTTCTTTCATTTCACGTCTCCTTTATCTGTACATTCACCTCCAGAACACTGGCCAAATTAGACTTCGTTTTGAAACTGCCACTACTGAAATCCCTATTTCATGCCTTAATCACTCAGTTAACTACCACTATTCTGTCCTTTATGTAGCCTCTAAACTTCAGGGAATTCAGAATACCTCAGCTAGACCATTCTCACGCTTCAGGCTACGAGATCATCACTCTTAATCTCTGTCACTTTCACTGGCTTCCTTCCTCTCTTCTTCCAGTTTAAAAGTTTCTGTCCCGGTTTTCAATTCAACTCCGCCCTATACCCTCTTGCCCCCAGATCTCTTTGACCACCAGCCACTTGCTAAACACCTCCAGTGTTGGTCACCTTTTTGTCTCTTTCACACATCTCTCCCTGAGCTGGGTGATGCTGTTTTACTTGTGCCGTATATACACCTCTTCTTTTCTCTGCCAAATCCCTACTTCTCTTCTCCTTCACCCACAGAAAGGCCCAGTCATCCCTCACTCAAGTCACACAAGACTTTTTTCTTTCCCCTTCTGTTTGTTGCTCCCAGGTTCCCAGTCTCTCCCCCAGTATCCCTCGGCCCACAAGGTCTCCCAGAAACTTGCCCCAGAATGGCTCCCTTTGCTCTAGCTCCCCTCCAAGATCCCACTTGTCTCTCTCATTCCCTTATTGCCTCTCAAGGTCCTCCCATCTGCCCTCTTTGCTCTGGCTTTCCCACTCTCCCCAACCAAGTGCTCCTTTGGCCTCTGCCTCTCCCTAGGCTCGGCTACCAGGCACCTCCCACTGAGCCTTTTGTTACTTGATGTAACAGACAAGATGCAAACGTCAAACCCCTTCAAAAGAGTTGAGTTGCAGTGATCTGCCATTTCCTTCGTAGGAGAAAAATAATTGTCTGAACCTTTATAAAGTGACTAAACTGAATGCAGTTTGTGCAACCACTTCCAGAAAACACACAATAATCTGGACTTTATTAAGAAAACTACACACCAGCAGGATATGAAAGACAGCACAGTGCACAATTGGACAGAGGACAAGGCGGAAATTCACATAACTGGCTATTGGACTCATCAATTTAGGCTTCCAGAGCATCTAACTACATCACATATTTGAACTGACCCACCTTTTCCAAGGTGTGTACACAGCACAACTTTTATATTTCGTTTTCACATAAGAAACCCAAGCATTGTAAGCAGTTCTCATAGAGGCTATTTTAAAAATTATTATTTAACACATGTAAGTCACTATAGAGTAGAACAAACACCAGTGAGTAACAGAGGAAGTCCCCACTTATTAAAAACAATGACCCATATAAGAACAGCAGTTTTTTCAAGTTGGATATTTTGCTTTCAAACTTAGTTCTTTCGTGACACTTTGAAGACTAGACTAGAAATATCACTGATTTCCCATAGGAATGCAGGCTAATAATCCACTCATAGGCACATCTTTTTTTTTACTGAGAGCTGCCCCTGCTGAAGCACATTATGTCTGCTTTGTGAATTAACGTTCAAAGCTAAAAAGAAACTCCTCACTTATTCATTGAAGCTGTTCTATATTCTACTCATCACGTTACAGCACCCATAGAAGGGTTACTTTTAACAGCTTTGAAAAAGGTTAGGCTCACTCATTGACTTTCTACAGTTTTAACATTCCACACACTGGAGTCCTAGAGATTAAAAACAGCAAAATTGCAAGTGGATGTGCTTTTTAGATTACAAAGATAGATAAAACCAAGAAAGGGGTACAGTAACTGCTTTATTTCAAGTACTGCTCACTGCCATGAAACCCTAGCTTCCTTGCTCTCCTGGGATAACCTGAAAACTCCCAGATTCTGAATCACTCTAAGTAGCCTGCAAAACATTTTCTAAAGCAACCAGGCCTTTGAGCTTCCTTTCAACATTCGAGGATTGAACCCGTTCAAGCACACACGGGTCAGCGTACCCAACCTAGCCATGCTGAATTGGTTTAAGTTTGGCCAACATCCACAATAGTGCTATCCCTACACTGTTTCAGTTGCAAAGCCTTTTGGGTACGTATGCCACAATCCCCAGCTTGGCTTCCAGAAGCAATGTATTTGGGGAGATTTTGCAGGACAGAGATAGGAAACCAGATTAACTGTTTTAGTATGTCTGCTACCACACACTCATTAAAATTAATCAATTGATTAATTAACCAATTATTAAGTTTGCAGAAAGGTACTTCATCCTAAGTGATTATATTAGACCATTTGTATACCAACTATCTATCACCTGGGGCATTTTTGTGTGTGTGGACACAAAAAGCACTGTGCTAACTAGGGCAACCAAGTATGAAAATTTGGGCCGGTGGTTTTTACCAGGAAAAAAATCCAAACATTTGAAAGCCAGGAAATTCAGAATTAAGGCTCTGAAAGCAATCTTAACAAATATATACCAGCATCCACTGTCTCAACAGAAACACATTACTCCCAACAACGCCAAATATGTGCAAAGACCCACATCATTAACCTTTTTTCAAGAAACTACACAGTTACTTTTACTATTATTCCACTTTATATCTAGTGGCTGGCAGTTGCCATGACAGAAGCTGTAAAATGGGGATACTGATGCTTACTCATCTTCGTAAAGCACTTTGAAATCTACAGTGCTAAACTTTATTTATATTAAATATTACTCAATGTAGTTAACATACATACCATTTTTGTAGCATTTTACCCCTTTTATTTAAGATAAAAAGCCTAGTATTCATTTATAAACTACATTGTTATATCATCTGACCCAGTAAAGCTTGGATACGATACACAAATGGAATAAATACCTTCTCATTTTTGTTTTCTCTTTCTGTGTCCTGATCTTTCTTGGCTTTATTTATCTTAGACTGTACCACGGAGACCACCTGCAAAACATAAGAAATAGACATGCGCATATGATAGACAGACAGACAGATAGATATAGATGCACAGTCAAGCACTCATAAAATCGGAAAAGCCAGAATTAGGGTTGACTGTACAACCTGGGTTTGTGCTTTGTGCTTATGCATTATGATACAGTCTTTAATTACATGACCACATACTATCTTTTCCACTGGACACCTGCCTCATTCAGTGCACAGTATGGAGCTGCCATGGGGAGAATAAGCATTGTGTAGAGTAGTGAAGTAGACTGTTGTCTGTAGAACACTTGCTTCAATTGTTGCAAAAGTTGGAAGGTGTGTAGTGAATGAGGCAAGAGACTACAGGAAGACAAAGAAAGGTCACACAGTTAACACAGCTGAATGCTGCCTTGAAGAATTGGATTCTATTCCTCTCTTTGCTAAAGAGTGCCTACTAAGCAAGTTACTTGAAACCAAACTTTTCACAAGTGGTCACTAACTGTGAATTCCTCATTTTCTGGGTGCCTGATTTGCAGAAGTGCTGAGCATTCACAGCTGCAAGTGAACAACAGGAATTGTGCTTTGAATATATGAAGTGCTATCTAATGCTAAATACTCTGAAAAATCAGGTCCAAGGTCTCAATGCACCCAAAATTAGTACCTTCATCTGTCTATCCCACCTCCTCATCTTACACGTTTTTTTTGACGATCAATTAATGTTTGCGATGCACTCAGATCTAGCGTGAGGAGCATCACAGAAAAGCCAAAGAGTAAATTCAGAATGCTGTCTTAGGAGCAGGGTTTGAATAATAGCAGTATGTTAGGCAGGGGCCACACACTGAACAATGAGGAGAAAAAAAATATGGAACAGCTTCTCATTAAGTGAACATCATCCATCCAGTGCACTAAATGAAGCAGGAATCCTGTGGAAAAACTAGTATGTGATCATTTAATTAAAGACTGTATCATGATGCATATGCACAAATTAAGATTGCACTTTCTAACTTTTGAGAACTTGAGTTTGCAATATTAATAATCTTCCCTTAACATAATTTGTGTGTGTGTATAGTTTCTTAGGTTTTTTTTAAAATCAAATTTAAAAAACAAATTCCATCACGTGGCATCATATTGACGTCCACATGGGTCATCAGCAGGTTTGAACCATCAGATTCACCACACTGATCTCTGCCACTTCAGCTAATGGAGTAACTAACAACAGTAATAAGTTGTCAATCTGCATGTAGACCAGCTCTAGTGTGGGATGAGACACTGCCAGGGAGTTTCCACAGGTATTTGCTGATAGCAGAGGAATGGTGAGACTCATGACTCTTTCTAGAGGGGAGTGTGCTCAGTGTTTTCTGCCCATTACCCCCAAGTTTGCCTCTTTCTGCCCTGTCCTGTCCAACCTGTCCTTGTTCCAATCCTGTCTTCTCCACCTGTGACTTCTTGTCCCAGTCCCTTTCTCCTCACCCTTGCCAGTTCCAGTCTCCACTCCTCAATCGTCTCATCCCAGCCTCAGTCTCCTTGCCCTGCCAGTTCCTAGTATCCCTCTACAGACTCCCTGTCCCAGTGTCCTCCCTCCCCTAATGTGCCCAGTCCTACCAATCTCCTTGCACAGCCAGTCCCAGTCCTCCATACGCACCTTGTTCCTCATTGACTGTCTCTCTCTCTTTCCCCATTCCCAGGCCTCCAGGCGCCCAGTCTCCACTAGCGCCCAGTCCCAACCTCTCTCTCTCTCTCTCTCTCGACTCCACATCTAATCTCAGAACTTTACCCCCTAGCCTCCAGCTCTTTTTTCCTATCCTCATTCTCAGAATGGCTGAGCCATTTTGGCTAAAATACACCACCACCATGGAAAAAAAAAAAAATCAGCCTGGCACAGACACCTGGCATGGAACAATTCAGCCTAAGGAGTTAAGTTTAGCAAAAGTTATAAGCAACCGAAAACAGGGTCTTCTAAGAACAAGTATTGGGCAACCTTAAAAATGTGGAAGGAGGCTATCGGCTCCCCCCACCCCCCTCACCATTCTTAAGGCTGCCGAATACTTCCCCTTAGAAGACCCTGTTTTCGGTTGCTTATAAAACCTTGCCAAACTTTAACTATTTAGGCTGAAATTTGAATCTCTCTCTCTCTTCTCATTATCTATTCATCAGTATATTGTAAGGACCCTTAATGAAATATAAGGGGCTGGTCTTGAATTACTCCAAGTTGATTAATGCCCTTTACATGGAATGCCTCAAGCAAGAGAGTACCATGTTATACTACATATTGTAAAATGTTTGTTGACTAATGTAATTTGGAACACTTGGTCCCTCAATAAGGTGCATAATGGTACAATATTCAAAACAACATGAGAATAGTATTTCACCATGGCAACAGTTAAAAATGAGACAGGAATATGCATGCTATAGAATATCTTTACAGAATGATTGGTATGAAACATGGTGTACCATCCCAAAGCAGGCAGTAGAAATTACTACTAAAAGCAGAGCAGCACAAATATCAGAGTGTTTTGAACACCTGACAGGGAAGGAACTCCCTTATGTATAAACCGTACGATCTTAAATTCAAAACAAACACCTCTGAGACCCCAGCTATTGGTAGTAGAGATACCAACGTAAGGTGCAGTTGGCACCACTGAAACAAATGGATGTCTAAGCACCATGGTGTGTACCTATACCATACTTGTGGTATTCCCTATACTGAGAATGGGAAATATTGCTAATACCACAGTAAGTTTAACTACTACAGATGGTACATGTCCAGCTATTTGAAGTGGCAATGTGCTTCCATCTTCTTCAGTACTGGTGAGGCAGCATGGTTAGGCCATGCAAAAGGAAATAAGGCATTTTGAGTTCCATTCCCAGCTCTGCTGCTGACTTGCTATGTGACCTGTGATCATTTACTTCCCCTCCAACCTCCGTAATAAATTCTAAGTTTGGGTGCTTCACCTTTGACCAAGAACCTGATATTCGGGGGTGCTGAGCTTCCACAATTCCCACTGGTCAATGGGAGCTGCCAGTGCTCAGCAATGCTGAAAGTCAGATTCTGGGTGTATAAGCCTCAGCACTCAAAAACAGAGGCACCCAAAGTTACTAAGGGTCCCTGATTATCTTTATGCCATCTCAGAGGCCATTTTCAGTGGCCTAGAAGGGTAAGGACACGAGTCTCAGGAAAAGACTCCGTTTTCCTGACATGCTTCTCAGAAAGGGTCAAATATATAGACAGAAGTTATTGTGTTATCACAGCTATGCCCATTATATGGTGCCTATGCTTTCTGCCACCACTGCTTGGACATTCTCCTTTCCCACTTTGATTGCTGCAAGTCATCACAGAACATAGAGATTCATTGGGGCTGTGGAGAAGGAGTGGACATTTGGGTGCCAGATTGTGTAAGGTGTGGTTAATGAGTTGTCAGAGAGACTCACTAGGTCAGGGGAGGGCAAACTACGGCCCGCGGGCCGAATCCGGCCAGTCAGTGCTTTCAATCTGGCCCGCGGGATTGCCAGCCCCGTGGCGCAGCAGGATTAAGGCAGGCTCCCTGCCTGCCCTGGCCCCTTGCCACTCCCAGAAGCAGCTAGCATCACGTCCCTGCAGCCCCTGGGGGAGGGGAGGGGCAGAGGGCTCCATGCGCTGCCCTCGCCTGCAGGCACCACCCCCTGCAGCTCCCATTGGCTGCAGTTCCCCATTCCCAGCCAATGGGAGCTTTGGGGGTGGTACCCACAGGCGAGGGCAGCGCGCAGCGGAGCCACCTGCCCCACCCCACACCCAGGAGCCACTGCCAGATATGCTGGCCACTTCCAGGAGCAGCGCAGGGCCAAGGCAGGCAGGGAGCCTGCCTTAGCCCCGCTGCGCGCCGCTGCCACCCCGGAGCTGCTCGAGGTAAGCAGCACCGGACTGGAGCCTGCACCCCAAACCCCTCCTGCATCCCTCACCCCCACCCCCCCCCCCGCGCCCCCTCCTGCACTCCTCACCCCCTGCCCTGAGCCCCCTCCTGCACCCCAACCCCTTGCCCTGAGCCTCTTCCTGCACATCGCACTCCCTCCCACACCCCGCACTACCTCCCGCACCCCAACCCCCTCCCTCAGCCCTACATTCATGGCACTGCATACAATTTCCCCACCCAGATGTGGCCCTTGGGCCAAAAAGTTTGCCCACCCCTGCACTAGGTCTTCTGTTACATAGCCTTTTGGTGGCATGGAGTTGCCTGATTGGATATTTTGTATTTGCTCATGAATCACATGAACTTCTGGGATGGCAGACTATAATTGTTGCCTCTTCTCACTGCCCAGAAGATGGGGAGATCATTTTCTCTTTTGCCTGTATTTCCTAGTTTTAACTCTACCTCAGATAATTATTGCTGATACTTGTAATTGTATTTTAAGCCTTTGGGGACACAGTTTGTATGGAGGATGCTATTCTACAATCAAGTTTCATTACATTATGTTTAAACATAAAGTTGGCTAATAGAGGAAATATTTTTAGAATACCAGGTAACACACAAGGGGGCTGATTCTAATTCAATTACGGTGGGGTAAACGCTGCTGAGTCAACACAGTCAGTTGAATTTACATTGGAGTAATTTAGACCAGAATCTGTCCCAAGAAGTAACCATATGGTCTCTGACTGGAAACTGTCAGAGTATGCAAGGGAAACTGTGTTATGACCAAATCTTGCTGAAAGGAGTTTGGCCATGTTTCAAATAAAAGGCATATTAAAAAGGAATTAAGTTTTGAAAAAAGAAAGGAAAGGAAAAAAGGGTAACTTACTCTTGGGGTACTAGACAAACTCTGAACAACAAAAACAACAGGATTTCCTGCATTCTTGATAGCTTCCACTGCTTCCTCATGCGTGGCATTTTGTAAGTCTACTCCAGACACCTAACAAATGGAGTGTATCTTCATTATTAGACAATCTGTCTTTTTCATAAATTACAACAAGAGATTTACATGCATTTATTGACAGTGAAGCTTAGCACATCAGAGGAAGTCACCAAAAGGTTTCATGGGATAGAAAAATACTTAAGAAAACACTACATAAAGTATATTTCTTCAACACTTTGAGGAACAAGCAGGGCAGAGGTATAGTATTCAGGGGCTCACAATTAAAGGCACATGCTGTATTTTACCAAAGACTCTACTTTCAGATAAAATCAGAGAATGCTTGGTATCACACGAATCCTCAATTTACCTAAGCATAAGCTAGTTATGTTTTGAAGCAACTCTCAAAGCACATCACTTCTGGAAGGCAGCAGACACAAAAAGGACAGTCAGTTTTCTGACAGCGGAACGTCATATGTGGAAGTACTCATTCTGGGGGATCTCATGGGA